TTAACAATTCTTTTATTAAAGGATAAAGTGACCATAATACCCAAGGCGAAATGCTGATTAAAGCAGGTGCAATTGAAGATAACCCATAAGCTTCATAATTTCTTGGATAATAGATCAGTGATTCACTGTAATGGGCTTATTAAGCAATATGGAAAATTGGGTCAAATTAGACAGTGAGATGGAGTTGTCCGTACATGACATGACTTGCCATGGAGACAATCAAAGTGATATTTCTTAACCTAACTCTCTAGAGATAAGATACTTGGCACTGAATTAGTCAATTACCTAACCTTTTGGAAAATCTATGACTGTGATCAGTAAAAGAAAATTGCATTAAAAATGGGCAATTATGGTATAATTGTAGGGGACAAATTTTCTTTGTACAGTAAATTGAAACTGTCTTGTTACAGAAGTGAGGGTTTAAAAAAAGGCATTAATGGGTATTTGCATAAAATAATATTCCTAACTCATATCCTCATACTGGCTATTCATGGGAGCTGTGGAAAACTCTGGCATTCACAGAATAACAAGTCCTCACAGGGTCATAGTATGACTCTAATAATAATATGGATCATATTTTTGTCGGTTTTTTCCAAAATAGAAATATTTAAGTTTTTCCATGAGCTAAAACATTTATTTCGCTTTGAGAGGATGACAAGAAATAAAGACATACTTGTATGGAGTGATTCTATGTTCGCTGGTAATTAGGGTGACATGCAAGGAAGCTTAAAAGTTGTTTTGGTAGGGGATTTCTGGACAAATCTTTTTTTTTTTTTTTTTTTTGGGTAGGGATTTCTGGACAACTCTTTTTTTTTTGGAGAGGTTTTTTTTTTTTTTTTTTCCCCGCTATAGGGCACGTGCGCTCACCAGCCAGACAGAGAGAGACATAGAGACAGAAAGCGAGAAATCACCCCCCAGGGGGAATGGTCACGCCGCAATCCCTTCTCCTCATTCTCCTCTCAGGATCTTGGCATGCACGCACACGCGCCCGGTGTGAGTTTTAAGCCACCAGGTCTGGGACGCGAACCGCGGTCGACTACGTGGGAGTCCAGCCACATAGCCATTATGCTAACTGCTGGTTCCCTGGACAACTCTTAACAGAGATTTGCTAATCCCTAAGCAAATACCACTTTAATAAGTATAATAAGACTTTCTTTTGTTGTCAGTAAATTAGCAGAAATTCATAGGCCTTAAATACGAGTGTGATTAATGTAGCCAGTTTAAATTTGGGTAACTGCTATGTAATATGATTGGTTTTTGATACATGAGTTTAAATAATTGGAATGTGAACTCATGAATGTCTTGCTATATTCAATAAATCAAGTTTTCAAACTGAGTTGGCCTTATCCACAGAGAGGATCTGGTGTTATCTTGCTTAGACATCCTGAGGCAGCCAGAGAGTTTCCCAGACAATGAGATTGAAGGGGTATTTGCTGAAAATTAAAACCATTTGTATTCTGCCTGGATGAAGAAGGACCCACTTTCTTGGGACCTTCAGGTTCTTTGAATAATGTGACTCTAATCCTGCCATTTTCCTGCAATCACAGGTCAGTTGTGCTCCTGCCTGGAGCAATGTTTTAACTTCATTCTTCTTCAGTGGTTCTCAAAACTGAACCCACAATAGAATCATCTAGAAGGTTTATTTATTTATTTTAGAATTTTGCCATAGGGCATATGAGCTTGGCAGAGAGAGACAGAGAGGGGGAAAGTGAGAAATCAGCCTCCAGGGGAGGGTGGTAGCCACATCACAATCCCTAATCTTCCATTTTCTTCTCAGGATTTTGAGCATGCATGCATACACATCCAGCATGATTTTCCAGCCAATAGGTCCAGGACTAAAATCATAGTCAGCCATGTGGAAGTCCAGCACCTTAGCTACTACACCACCTACTGGCACGTGAAGGGCTTATTGAAGCACAGATTGTGGAGCCAGGTGGTGGCCCAGTGGGAACCTGACCCTGTGGGAGGGGTCCTGAGTTTGCATATTGAGACCTCTGTTTATGCTGAGCTGTCTCTGTGATCTGAGCTGGCTGAGATTAAAGAATGAATCATGGCTTAAAAACCCTGCTTGTCTCTTTCTCTCTTTCTTTTTTATTTTTTGTTTCTATCTTGGAAGAAATAAATAAACTTTGTAAAGCATATATTTCTAGTACAAGCAACAGAGTTTCGTGTCCAAAATTTGGTGGGGTCTAAGAATTTGCATTTCTAACAAGCTCCCAGGTGATGCTGATGCAAACTATGAGTGATTGCTCTTCTGTAACTATACTGGCATGTCCTTTGACTCATTTGTATTGCCCCCACTCAGTGACATTTTTTAACTTATCATGCATTAAGTAATGTAAAATTATAGATGGCCGTACAATGAATGTGTTACAACAGTACTATGCTGGACATATTGACAACAGGGGTAACGAACTTCTCCGGTTTCAGTTGCTCAATGCCTCTTGCTACCCTAAACTTGTGATTCCATATTCTTGAAGGAAATTCAATTTTAAAATAGTTTCTTTACCCGATTCTTCATTACTTTCCTTTTCCCTTATGCAATTACAATTTTCATTTACTCAATGCAGGTGATATCATTTATGTGGTATAAAAAAAAAAAAAGCAATCTACTTAAACTAATACATACTAATGCTTGAGACCTGGTTAGAGTGTTCACATTTCAGAAAAGATGCTTCTGAGCCAACATCAATTTCAAAATCATGACAACATAAAGTGAAAAGTGTCAGGTAGCTGTGATGTGTTTCCTCTCTCCTTCTGTTATCAGGCAGGTATTCTCAACACTGCTGATGATTCATCTAGGCACAGAATGTAATACAAAATGGATTGGTTGGAGCCACTTGAGATATTTAATAATTTTATAGAATATATATAAAATTTTTATTTTAAGTAATGTGTTGGCATATATCCCTTCAATTAAAAGTTATAGGACCTTTGTGATGATGAAATTTTAAAAATCCACTTAAACATCTGTTCTCATTGGGAATGTTCCAATAGAATATTTATATTTTTATAAGGAGAAAATATTATACTTGCTATGGTCTGAATGATTATGCCCTCCAAAATTTCATATGCTGAAATTCTGACCCTCAAGGCAGTGATATTAGGAGGTGGGGCCATTGGGAACTTATTAAGTCACAAGGGAAGATACTTCATGGTTGAGATTAGGCCCTTAGGAAGGACATTCTAGAGCTAGTTCATTCCTTTAGCGGCTGACGACACAGATGGAAAACACAGTCTATAAACTTGTGACTGGGTTCTCAAAGGACACCAAATCTACTAATGCCTTTATCTTGACCTCTTAGTCTCTAGACTATGAGAAATCAATTTCCATAGTTCATAAACTACCTAGTTTATAGTATTTTGTAATATCCACACAAACAGATTTTGACATTCCTTATATAACAGAAGTTACATGTTAAAATAACGGTGTTATAGTGTTCCCCTCTGAGGTCTTTATGAGGGAATTAGAGAGAGAAAGGCAATAGAAACTGAGGAAACCCAGGCTTGTTCACCCAGAGACTGCCAGCTGGAACACTCTTTGAAACGCATAGTGAGTGCAAAGCGCATTGTTTTTTAAGGGAGTATCCCAAGAACTTATATGAGAAGGAAATCACTAGAAGAGTGAGGAAGCAAGGTGAATAAAGTAACCAATTATTAGATATTCTGAAATATAAGAAGTTGGAAAATGTATTGAGGGATGACAGACACAATTTGGAGGGATTAACACATACATCTTGGCTTATGAGGTGCTGCCTTATTCCCTCTTCCTCTTTCACTTTCATCTTTTTCTTCTTTTCCTCTCCTTTCTTTGTAATTTCTCTTCATGCTTGTTCTTCTCTCTTCTTTTATCTTTAATGATTTTGCATTTTGTTATTTTATTTTGAATTTGTCCAATGAAAATCTATCAAATCAACAATTACCAAGTTTATTCATTCAATGGATAGTTTGGCCTAATGTCCTAACAATGGAAAATAATAGTGTATATATGGTCACATTATAGAAAACTTCTTAAAAATATGATTTCCATAAAAATATTTTATCTAAAGTTGAATAATCTGCCCTAAAGGTACTATGGACAAGTTAGTAAAGATCTCTCTCTCTGGGTCTCACTTTTATCACTTTGCAAATAATTAAACTACACAATTTCTGACTCTAAAGCTTTTATTCCATCCTTTATTTTATTCATTTATTTTTTGGTCTGGAATGTTCCTTTGATTTTTGCAAAAAAATTTCCTCAGTTGTATTAGAAGCCTTTTTCTTCTTCTGACTGCATACTACCCTATAAATGTTTGCTTTCAGCACTAGCACTTGGGGAAATTTCTTTTACAAGTGGTTACTTCAGTAGAAACTGGAAATATTGTAAACAGAACCAGCCATGCAGGCAGTATGCGAAAGAGTTTTATGGTAAAATTTCACAGAATATATTTAGTCCATTTACATTTCTCTCACTGAAGCTTATAACGCAAGATAGGAAAGGCAGATTTTCACATTTCCTCAGGCAGAGGTCAGAAGGAACTTTCAGAGGGAACTTGAAGCTTAGGCAAAAATCCAAACACATAAAAGCACAGCCATTTCAAAACTAGTCAAAATGAACTGTTACCCGGCATAGCAGATGGCAATATTTTATGAACCATTTTGTAACATTATAGAATTCCCAGCATCTACTAAAATTCAGCTTCATGAATACCATTTAAAAAGCTCTATGGCTTTTGCCCATGATATTTTTAAGAAAAATGCTATTTTGTGAACCTAAAACGGAGTCTGTTAAGATGGGAAAGGATTGCCCGGTGCCTACAAAGGCAGGTGAGAACCAGGTCATCATAACACAGCCGAGGCTGTTTCCCATACTGTGAAGACACCATGAGACTGAATGTACTATATCTCGATTTTTTTCATTTTGTTTGTTTTGAAAAATTTTAATCAGCACAAATGGCTGTGCCTAGTCTTTAAATCTGTTCAAAGCAAATGGAGCGAAAGCCTTCTAATCCTTCAGAGCTTCATCTGGCAGTGACCTCGGAAAAAAAGAACCTTCCTCTTACATCGTCAAAATGGTGTCCTTTAGTTCTGTGTTGTTCTGTGTGGGTCTTTGATCCCAGAATTCTCAAACTGGGCTCATTTCTGTTGGTAGTTGCTCTGCCCACAGTTGTAGTGCCCATAGTGCATTGGGACTCAGGAAGATTTAAAAGGGCTTGCTTTGGGTCAAAATTGTGCTGTAAGTTCAGTGATAGTCTCAGGTCATTGGCCTTCTGGTAGTTCTTCAAGGCTTCAATTCTCAGCTCAATCACTTTGCCATGAAAGTCATTCTGAAGGATGTTGGCTGGTTCCTGATACTTGACAAATTCCATTTTCTGCTGTTGTTTTTCCTTTCCATTCTGGAAGTCTGCCTTGGTTTTTATCTGTGCTGCTTCTTGTTGATCAATGAATTCTTCTGCCTCAACTGCCTTGTTCCATAGCATCTCCATTTTCTTCCAAAGAGCTTTGTTTTTCCTTTCCAGGTTCCGTTTCATCTCCTCTGCTGCCTTTCTTAGCTCCATGACTGAGGATTCATCCCATTCCTTCCCTGCCATGATCTGTCTCATGATCTGCAGCCTTCCTTGTTTGTCTTCCAAGTTAGACATTAACTTCTGGAATAAAATGTTGTTCTTACCTTCTAGAGGTTTTAGCATCTCTAGCAGTTCCTGCTTCCTTAACTTTAAATACTCATTCAGTTCTTTCAGGTAGTTGCTATCTATTTTAGAACTTCTTATTCTTGATGACATGTAAGATCCTGAAGAGTTTGTACCACTTACCATTTTGAAGGGAAACTTCTACTCTAAGGATAAACATAACTTCTGGAAAAATGTGCCTTCTTTTCCCATCCAGGTATGTCAAAATTTTTTTATGCTGCTTTTCTTGAAACTCCTATTACACTGGACAGGTTTTAGATACAGCTTGAAGTCACAATGGCCCATTCTAATGTGAAGAAGGAGAGTCTAGATGTTTCCCAGCAAATGCACCAAAATATGATGCAGGAATGAAGAGGTACAGGGGTGACTGGGCCCAGCACTCACAGTGGGACACAGGTTCTTGTCTCATATTAAGGAAGAAATAGAGTCACAGACACAGAGTATGTACAGCAAAGCAGTGAGTTTATTGAAGGACGGAGAAGAAAAAACAGAGCTCCCAAGAAGAGAGGAGTCCCAGAAAATGGGATACCATATATCTCAGTTTTAAAGAAATTTTCTTGTTAAAGTATGCAAAGTCAGATAAATCTTAGTTTATGTTAGTACATAACTTCAGTGAGAACATACCTTTATTATTACTTTTTAATTTTCCAGAGATTGCATATGCTCACCAGAGACAGAGAGAGAGGAAAAGCAGGAAAAAAGCATCCTCTATGGGCAATGGTCATACTGTAATCAATTTCTTTTTTGGGGGAATTTTAGGCATGCAAGCACACAGGCTTGCTGAAGTTTTCAAGCAACTGGATCTGGAATTCCAACAGTTCATTTGGTCACACAGTTCAAGCAAACAACAGGCTATAGGCTGACCCCAGAACGTAACTTTCTTATGTTTACTTATTTATTTCTTCCAGGAAAGATAGAGCAAAAAAGAGATAGAGAAGCACTCCTACAGGGGTCTTAATGCTGCAGCCCTGACCCCTAGGTTCACCAAGCAAGGATCATGGGCACATGCATGTTTGCATGCCTTGCAGGCATAGTGAGACCTTGGGGCACAAATCTGGGACTTCCTCTCTCAACTCAGAATTACAGAGCATTGCTTTATGACTGTGCCACCATGGCTAGCCAGAACATAAATTTTTGTTGTTTTTTGTTTGTTTGTTTGTTTTCACCATAGTATGTACACATGCATTTGCCAGAAAGAGACAAAGACAATGAGAGAGAAAATAAGAAATGACTCCCTTGGCTGATGGCCACAATATAATCTCTTATCTTCCATTCTCCTTTGGGGATTCTGGACACACACATATACACACTCATCTGATGTGATGCTCAAGTCCCCAGCCCAAGATTCGAACCATGGTCGGCTATGTGGAAGTCTAACACCTTAACCACCATGCTACCTGCTGACTCCCAGAACATAACTTTTAAAACATATTTAACACATTAATATCTAGTTCTACATTATTATGGCTGAAGAGTCATTTATTTGCTGATCCATTTACAACTACTTAAAAATTTAGAGAAACTTAAGCAGTGACTGAGCAGTCTTTTTTCCTCTTGTATTAAACATATTTTAATCTACATGATAATTGCATGTATTTTTGTAGTACAGAGTGATTTTTCAGTACATATACACCATATGTAATAATCAGGGAGACATAGTTCATGGATACAGTACTACAATTAGATAGGAAAAGTTCTAGCCTTCCACAGCATAGTGGAGTGACTACAGTTAATGATAATGTATTCTGTACTTCAAGCTAGCTAGATGGAATCTTTTGAATGGAGAAATGACAATCAACATGAGAGTACAATGGCTAAATGGTATTGTACTATGTAATTATAAATTCCCCTTTTGTTTTCTGCCAAATAATGTAGAAGGGAATGGAAGAATGGAAGAAAAAGGTTTATAAAGGCTGTGGAGATTTTCTTTTTTAGTAGGACATAAAGAGCAGTAATGGTGATGTTTGATTAAACTGAATGTGATTAACGATGAGGAAGGAAGAATTAGTGTCCAGAAACTTTGAAGACATGGATAAATGCAAGCAGCAAAAGGTACCATTTTTAAATAAAAATTAAGAGTAGTTGTATATTACTTTTCCAAAAATTAAAAAAAAGGATAAGATAATTTTTAATTAATTAACTTGTCAGAGATACTAATGGTATCTTTTTCAAAGACTGGAATATGAATCTGGTCATTCCCTATAGAATTTGATTTCATATAGAATGTTGGGTCGTCAGAAAAATCATGTCTTTTTCTATGCAAAAACGGATCTTGACTTTTCTGATAACCCGATATTAATACTTCAGATTTGTTATTTTGGTAGCATAATAACTGCCATATTTTAATGTACTGGACATCCCTATAAACTACCCCTCAAGTTCTGTTTAATCCCAAAAATCTGGGCGCATAGACGGCATGGAGTGTAAGGTGGCTGGATCTCACATGTCCAGCTGTGCAGTTTGAGTACCAGACCCAGCAGCTTGAGAATCACACTGGGCACATTTGCTTGCATGCCCCAAATCCCAAGAGAATGGATTGCAGCATGGAGATCCCTCCTGGGGGGGAATTCTCACTTTCTTCCTTTCTCTTTTTCCCTCTGACAAGCACATGCATTGTATAGCAAACTGGAAAAAAAATCACATAATTCCTGCTTAAAAATTTGGAATACAAGATGTTTATTATCATCATAAAGTGATAGATTAATGAGAAAGGAAAATTTTTTAATCTTTTCATTTCTGGTCTAACCAAATATCAAATAATCAAAATGCTAGCTATCATCTTTTTTATAAATAAGGAGGACTGGTTATATTTGTGATACAGGAGCAGTATAAGAAGAATTTACACTTATTGAGGATTAACAGCTATGGAAATAGAAACTGTGCATAATTGTAATTTAGTTTTACAGACACCACCGAGCAGTGGATATTTTGTTTGCATTTTACAGCTGTAGCTGGGCACTTTGACTTAGGCTACATGTCTATTAATTTGAAAGGCTGCAATTTGAACCTAGTACTGCCAGATAGAAAGTCCCTGCTCTTTTGATGTCATTTGAACTGCCACACCACGCAGGGCCAGTGGGGCCTAGTTATCTGCATTTGCTGTCTCCTGAAGTTTGTTACCTCCAGGAATGTTATACGAAATCATTTTTTAATGATTTTTTTTCAAGAACATACATTATATTAGCTATGTTAAGCTCTCCTGTTGTATATATACCATGAAAAGTTTGATTCACTTTTTTGCGGGGGTAGGGAGGGAGATTTTTACTATAGAGCATGTGCGCTCGACAGAGACAGAAACAGAGAGACCAAAAGCGAGAAATCACCCTCCAGGGGAATGGCCATGATGCAATCCCTCCTCCTCCATTCTCCTCTCAGGATTTTGGGTATACACACACACGCACACACACACACACACACACGCAGCATGAGCTTCAAACCACTGGGTCTGGGACTTGAACCACAGGACACTACGTGGGAGTCTAGGTACACACACACACACACACACACACACACACAGCATGAGCTTCAAACCACTGGGTCTGGGACTTGAACCACAGGACACTATGTGGGAGTCCAGCAATAACCATTACGCAATCTGTCCGTCTCGAGCTTGGTTCTTTGATACATCATTTCCAGGTTATGGATGATAGTTTCAGCATTGTGATTAGTCTTCCGTCCATCTGAAAGTTGATGCTTGCAAACTCAGGCTAATCGAAGGAGCAAAAGCCACACCTTCCCAGTCACCCTGGATTAAATAGTGGGGCAATGAAGAAACAGAGAAATGGTTAAATTTTATACATAAGGTGCTTCTTTGAATGAGCAACAAGCCAGAGAGAGAGAGAGAGAGAGAGAGAGGGAGGGAAGGAGGAGGGAGGGAGGGAGGGAAGGAAGTAGGGAGGG